ACAGGGTAAGAAGCATGCAAACTCAAGTTAAGTTGCATGGAAGTAAATCCTGTGGATCGTTACTCCAGAACTAAAGCTGCTTGAACTTTGTCACTCTGATCTGAAGAGGGAATAAAAAGCCATCTGAAGTGGAGGCAATCTCCTTACGGTCTACATAACACAAGGCAAAGTCTTCCACAAGCATTATCAGGCCATCAGGGTCAGGGCATTCCTCCTGCTGATCTCAAGTCCCAGATGTGTTTCTGGCCCGAGACATCGATTTTGCCAGCGCTTTGCCTATTTTCAGTCAGAGAGGATGATCACGGAGACCTTCCCAGTGTCTGTTCTGAATTTCTCTGAATTAATCTGATTTCTACTCAGTTCTTGGGTGTGAGAAAGCTGGGCACCCACTGAGCCACCGGCTCCGGTTCCCCTGGTGGGCACAGCGGCCTCTGCACTGCCAGACCAACGCCACGCAGCTGATACACCGTAAAGCGAGTCTTGTTCCCACCGAGTGGCTTTCTCTGCCTCGGAATCCAAACCAAAAGCCAGCTAGAGCTGCCCCGTCCGAACCCCCGCACAGCTTTTCCTGCCTGATCAGCTCTGCGGGACCTCTGCTCCTGCAGCAGCAGGTTATCCGAGGCGAGCGATCACAGTCTGATAAACCGCTGCTGACTGTGCCCGGGTGAGCTGACCGGAGCGTCCGGACTCGCGGGGCAGCTGCAGGAAAAGCCTCACCAGCCTCCTCTCAAGCAGGAGTTGGAGACTTTGGCCCTCCGGGACCGTAGGACAGCGCTGCTCCGCAAACGATGCCATCGGGTCACGTGCCAGCGGATCGGTTTCACCGTACACGTCAGGTTGGACACGTCACCTTGCCAAGGATCCGCACACACCCGGCACAGGAGATAATGAGGATGGAAGTCTCAAACAACTCGTTTCTCAGCAGTAAGAGCCGATCGAGGGCTGGAGTCGCAGGGCCGTGTGAATCACCGTAAAGTGACGTGATAACGAAGGAACTCGGCGCTAATCAAGGCCCAACCCAGCAGAAACCTTTCAAACTCCATGTACCGCGAGCTCTTTAGCCTTTCTCCTCTGTACTTACTGGTGGGCATTGCGCAAGTTTATCGGCTGCCACCAACTGAACGTTCAGGTGTTTACTCTGCGACTTCCCTCTGGATTTAATCAGTCGCTGCAAAACCTGACGGAGGAAAAGAGGACAACGTGAGTCGAAGAGTCGCATCTGACCCGCCCTCGAATGCAAGCACAGACCTTCCCGATAACCTCCCCGAGAGCCGAGCCCTCCGCGTCACGCCCGAGCCCACGCAAACGTTCCCCACACAGCGCAGAGGGCAATCTTGCTTCACTCCCCTTGGACTCACAGCGTATTCCTGACAAAGGTAACCTTCCAGAGGACCACAGACCTTGTACCGACAGAATTACACAGGACTGACTGCGGCACAAGAGCAGCAGCGCGTTGTCTTGGGTAGCAATCATGCTGTAACCCAGTCTGTCTGCGGCGCTGTCGGCTGCAGAAGGTATTTTACACACGCCGCTCATGTTACAGTTTTTTCCTTCTGCAAGGTTCACTACTAGAATTTAATGGGCAAAAAGGTTAGGAATCCCAAATTACTTCTCTGGGAAGTTTCAAAGAAAGTGACAAGATCACAGAACAGAGTATTTTATCGGCAGGACCTCTGTAGGTCTCTGTGCCAACCCCTCACTCAAGGATCGGGCTGCTCGGGGCCATCTCCAAGGAGATCCCACCACCCCCCTGAGCCAGGACTGACCCGTCTTTGCTGGCTGGGACGATTCTCTGCCGTAAGGGCATGCTGCTCCCTCTGTCCCGACTGGCACCCACCAAGAGCTGCCCCCAGCAGCCAAGGAGACCACATCGAAGCCCCGCTGCTCTTTCTCCGTCCCTCTGTCCACGGGGTCATAACCCCTTGCCCAAAGGCAGCCACGTTGGTCAGGCACGATTTGCCCTTGGTAAATCCTGTCTGGCTCTCCCAATCCCATTCCTGTCCTGCACGTGGCTGGGGAGCAGCTTCCCAGAGGGTTTGCTCCATGCCCTTCCCAGGGACTGAGGTGAGACTGACGGGCCTGTAGCTCCCCAGCTCCTCTCTTTTACCCTTCCTGAGAGTGGATGTGACATCTGCCTTTTCCCAGTTACCAGGAACCTTCCCAGGTCCCTGAGCTTCCACATGGAACAGAGAGCAGCTCTGCACTGGCACGAGACTGCTCCTGCCCAGGAATCCCGCCCGGACGCCTGCTCTTCCATGCATCCAGACAATTAGGTGGTCTCCAGATCAACCTTCTGCCTCTGGGGGCTCCCAGTGAGCCCAGATCTCTTACTTTCCTTCTGCTTGCCGTGTTCTTACAGAAGCCCTCTGGTTTCTCCGAAATCTCTTGCTAGCTGCAGCTCCAGCTGAACTCTGCCTTCCTCCCCTTCCCCCAAGATGTATTCCTCTGGGGATGCCTGTCTCCGCATCCCTCTCCTGTGTGCCTCCGCTGTGCTGGAGCTGCTCACCCACACCGCTCTCCTGCCCAGCTCCACGTAGGAACAGACCATTCTGGTGCTTGGAGGAAGCTCTCCATGAAGATCCT